CACACCAAAACGTTACAGGTCTCAGACTGGTTTATGAATGCTGGGCCTTGCACGGTTACAAGGCAGGAGTGTCAAAGGAATCGACAAACCTACACACTTACCCCATCTACCACATCAATGGTCTATAAGTGTGTTTCACTGGTATGATCATTTGGCTTCTATCTTTATTCCTTCCTTAGGATTAGAGGATGTCATGTAACATGTCAGGACCTTGACTAAACTGTACTCAACGGGCTTTAAACAACACCTCAACTGGTCTCTCTCTCTCTGTGATGAAGAAGTAAAATTAATGAGGCAAGCCATGCTCCAAAAATCAGACAGTATTAGACATTCTAACAGCAGCACAAGGGGGTACTTATGCAATTATAAAAGTTGAATGTTTTGTGAGTATTCCTGATCCTCCTGGTAATATCCTGATGGCTGTTCAGGATATTAAATGACAGGTTAATGCCATGTTAGATTCTGAAATTCCCTAGACCTTCTCTTTGCCCTCTTTGTGGGAGGCTATTACTAGCTCTTCCTGATGGAAACTTTTCTTGGTTATATTCATAATAATCCTGTTCATCTTATTATATGGACCATGCATGCTTAAATGTTTATTTGGCCTTATCTCCTCCAGACTTAAAATTTTATACCTACCCATGATGAGAACACCTGGCATCTAACTATGGATCACAACTACGGCTCCCCTCAGCCAAAAGTAGTCAGAATGGTCATTGCCTTTGGGACCCTCATAGCAGCTAAGGGTAGCTCTTCAGAGGGAGGAATATTATACACAGCTAAGTTAGGTAGAAATATTATAAGCAGTCACACAGACCTAGGCCCTCAAAGAAGTCAGTGTAGAAGATAAGAACACACACATATGTGCTAGTTCCTGTTAATTATTTTGTTTGAGGAACTGCACATGGGCTCCTATATAATATATTTTAATCTGAATGACAAAGAATGCCTCTTTGAAGGTACCGTAAAATAGTCTGGCCAATTTATAGGCATCCAGACTTGCACGTTGTGTAACGTATGAAAGATGTTTGTAGGTAATAGTGTGCCAAGTAGGTAGAATAACAAAGATTCTCTTCTTGACCAAATTCTAGCCAGGTTCTCACCACAGGCTTGAACGAAACACTAAAAGTTTCTAACAGTTTAGGCCCACACTCTTAGGATGACCCAAATTTGGCTTAAACTATCTGCCTCAGAACACTCAAAGCTGCCAAAAAAAATGTCTTGTTTATGCTACCCAACACTGAACATAATATCCCTCTTCCAGTCCCCAGGAGAAGGTAAGAGTTTCATTCCCATAAAGGCCATTTACCAGCAATCCGTGAAGGATCACAGGTGGACTTACCTCCCTTCTCATCTTTTGTAACTTTTTACTTCCTTGACATTGCCAAGAACTCCCCCACACTCCTTCCATTATCACGTCCCCCACTATCACCTCTGCACAGTGAGGCTCAATTACCTCCGTACAAATCAAACTTCAGTTCATATTGGACCCTTTCCTATTACAATAGTATTAATACGGAACAATACCCATGCTTACCACCTTAACTAGTGACCAACTTTATGAGACGATAGGGGTGGCCAAGCATTGTGGGGCACACCTCTAATCCCAGCACTCAGGAGGCTGAGGCAGGAGGATTGCTGTGTTCAAGGTCAGCCTGGGCTATATAGTGAGTTCAAGGTCAACCTGAACTACATAGTGAGACCCTGTCTCAAAAAATACATACATACTTAACTCAGCTATTCCCTTTCTAGGTATTTTCCCAGAAGAATTAAAAACATCATACCACAGCAATATATGTGCACCCATGTTTATAGCAACACAATTTGTTATAGCTAAATCTTGGAAACAACCCAAATGCCCATCCACTGAGGAATGAATAAAAAAAGATGTGGTATTGTCATACAATGGAGTATTACTCAGCTATAAAAAAAGATAAACTCGAGGCTTTTGTAGGTAAATGAATGCAACTAGAGACCATACTCATAAGTGAAATAAATCGGACCCAGATGGGTAAACATCATATTGTCTCCTTGGTGTAAGAACCTGAAAGAATAAGTAAAACTCAAAACGTACAAAAGATGATAGGAAAGGGAAAGAAATTGCTCAAAGGAAGGAACAACTGGGATGAGGGAAAGAAGAATAAAGAAAGAAGGCAAAATATAAATATATAAATATAAATATTTATTATACAAAATATAAAATATAAATATAAATATAGAAATACATATGAAAAGCTGTGATAACTGGATTGCTGATGTCTGATGGTATATTTAAAGGAACAGTTAATGCTTAAAATTTTTTATGTTCTGACCAATTTTGTATGCTTATGCAATGGAACTACCATGGCGAATTCCTACCATCTTGTCTAGTGAAACTCTGTATTATCTCTAATGTTTTATCTAATAATTATTTTCTTATTCTTTTTAATGGTTTGAACAATTTTCCATTCTTACATCTGGTAATCTGAGCAACATAGTTGAGGAGAGCGATATGTAATATAACAACCACTGTTAATTTGTATTATTTTGTCTTGAAACCCTGTATCACTTTAAATGTTCTTGCTTTGCTTTGTTTAGTTTGGTATGCTGCTATTGTTCTTTTTTTTTTTTTTTCTCATTTACTACTCTCTTTAAAATAAAACTTAAAAAAATACATACAGACATACAAACAAAAAACCATTGGGATGGATTCACTTTTATGACTAAGTAGAAATCCTAACAGTTCCTCTTTTGGTTTTGAAACAGGGTCTCACTATACAGTTCAGGCTGGCCTTAAACTCACTTTGTAGCCCAGGCTGGCCTTGAGCTCGCAGGGATCCTCCTGCCTCAGCCTCCTGATTGCTGGGATTACAGATGTGCACCACCACACACAGCCTGCAGAGGACATGATTCTTTGAAGAAGACACTTTTGGAAACTAATACTACTCTGCTTCACAACTCACCCTACTTGCTGAAACTGTCTTGTTGTGGGCAAAGGTTAATAGATGTTTACACAATGGGGTGCAGGTCAGAGAAAAGCTAAAAACGTGGAAGCAAAAGCAAAGCTCCTAAAAAGACTCACGAGCTGCTTTGGGTGATTCCACTCTCTCGTCCTATGTTCTGCGCCTGAGCCCTAAGCAACTCAGTGGTGTTCTTCGACAGCGCATGCGCTGGGAGCAGAGGTTGGGGACCGCGCCCTGCATCTGCGCCTGCGCAGCAGTGGGTCTGTTGCGGTGAGATGTTAAGGGCCTCTAGAGTGGAGTTTTTGTGGGCCGTTTGTATGTCGTCCTGTTTGTCTCCTGGAAGGCCTGAGCAAGGTCAGAGGGGAAAAAAGGTGAACTAACAGCTTAGACCCTTTGTCTTTGTCCTTTATAAGTAGTGTTTGTGTTATTTCACGACACACAGCTCTTAACCACAAAGCAACAGAAGTTGTCTGTTCAAAATGCTAAGTTTGGAGGCAGGGACCCCTCTCCGAGCATTTCTTTTCTTTGCTAGAGACCCCCAAGATATGAATGTCTCATCCTTCCTTTGACTTCCATAGGGCTTGGAATTAAAAGTTGAATAAGAGTTGATGTGAAAAAGAAAAAAAAAAAACAAAAAATAAAAAACAGACGCTTACATATACACAGAATGTTCTGGAAGTATGAATCAGCAACTGATTACTGATTTCCTCAGAGAGAAGAAAGTGGGTGGCCTAAGGATGGAAATAGGAAAGAAGGTTGGATTGGTTGATTTGTATTGTTTGAAATTTGTCCAACGTACACCTATTACAGTATTTTTAAGTATTTGAATTCCATGTGGTACATTTATCAAAATGTAGACAGGAAACTGTGAAATTTAGGAGTTCTGAGTAAAATTCTATTAATGATAGAATTACCCGTTCATGGGAAGCTAAAATGTCTTGTGCGAAGCACTGAATCTTCCTGTTTATTTCTGGGCAGAGATCTTTGGGGAAGTAGGACCAAGAGACAGGAAAAGAGGAGTCGGGCATTTGGAAATTTTTCAAAATCATGGCATACAGGAAACTGACATCTTTATCATCTCGATCATTTGTTTTGGATTTGCTGACAAAAATTAAGAGCTACTTTTTAGTATACACTGACTGAATGCGTAGATTTGAAGAAGATATTTGATGTTTATTTTTGTCAAGGTGACTAATTAGGTGTGACTGGCAGGATTGAGATATGAAGTTCCTCTTTTGGTTAAGAAAACTTCCCTTGGTGAGAAATCGCCAGACTGGTTATGGTGTAGTCCTGCCCCTAGCCAACTTTGCAAGATAATTTGGGGCTCCTGCCTCTAAGGGAAGTACTGAGTAAAGAAATTAAACAGGGAACTAGGAAAATTGACAGACAAAACATGCAGGCTGAAAGAAGATCCCAGATAACTTCTTGTGTACTAGTCAAGCTGAACCAGTTTCACTTTGTTCCCCAGTGAGTGGTTAATGGATCTAGGCAAGGAGAGAAATTTAGTACCACAGGTTGAAAGTTGAAAGCATAAAGTTTAAAGCCTCAGGTTGTAATTTGTTATCTTCAAGTTTGCCTGGGTCACAGGTAGAAAGCCAGAGGTTGAACGGCCAAATAAAATATGTAGGGAGCTGTTTCCTAAGTAAATCCAAAAATCGGTACATCTACAAGCAATAAATAAGACTGAGTAGATAATTTATCTATCAAACTGAGGAGTGTCTGGGGATAGAGGATCCCTTGCAAAGGAGGGGGAAAAAAACACATCACAGAGGACCATACTTGATAAAATTTATTTTAAAAAAATAATTTATGTCCTAAGCAAAATAAAAGATCTTATATAATATAAATGTTTCTTAGAAAACATATGAAAAGATAATATAACAAATAGTAAATCAATATTAACATTACAGCAAAAGTGGTAATGATTCTACAAAAATGACAAGGATATTTTTGGACTTTACACAGCAGTATTTCTGGAAGATCCTCTGATTCATATTTCTCTTGAAATATGTTCTCATTTTAAGAAAGCCTGGTGCATAATTAAACTTAGGAAGTTGGTCAATTAAAGGATATTTATTTGCATCACCAAAAGAAAAACCCAGAGTTTTCTGTCAAGGATCCTTTAGTGAATTTCCTATTGTGTTTAGAATATAATTAACCAAATACATGTGTCCCCAACTTTTCAGTTATAACTACTGCAAAAAGTAAGTTAAACCTGAAGTGAGGCAATAATAGAGCTGGGCTTCAGACCTGACTGAAAAGAGTATTCTTAAAGTATGAGGAAATGGTTAAGAATGCAAGTTCTCACAATGTTTTATTTCTTCTGTTCTTATTTTTCATGTCTCAAGGGCTTTCTGTTAATCTCTGTTCACTTGGTACTGTCAGAAAAGAAGGGGAAAGTCCTGGGAGGGTGACAAGTGAATGAATTAGTCATTCCAGCAGAGCAGAGTGGGAGAAGAATCCGGGATTCAGAGTGTGTGTGTGGATGTACTGGGGAAAAGCAAAAATTATCCTGAATTCGGTGTAGTCATTTTGAGGCCCCTCCCCTAGTGGGGATTCCGACTCCCTGAGGAGCAGCAGAGCCCGTTCCAGCCCTCTCTGGAGAAAGGATGAAGGTCTATTTGTCACATTCTTCCTGGCTCCCTTCAGCACAATGGTAGTGCTGCTCACAGAATTCCTGGATCCGGCTGCAAGCTTCTAACATCATCACCTCAGGGACAGTGATCACCACTCGGAAGAAATTTGGGTATTCGAAGCACTGCAAAAAAATAAGAGCCTCTTATTTTCAGAGCATTTGGATCTGGTAGTGGACCCCCCTCCAAAAATAAATGGCCAGGGCTCTAATCAGCAAGAAGCAATGATGCCATTTCATTAAGGGTATCAGTTCATCCAGTCTCATCAGCATACCAAGTAGGTAAATGAGTTAATTTATCTTAAAATGGATGTAGTACAAATCTGATCTAGAATGTTTGGGTGCAATTTCCCATTATAGATAGGATAATAATAGGGAAGAAACAAATTTTAAATAGAAGCCATGAGACACATCAATTTAAATTTTATCAAATAAGAATCCATTTTGGTAAAGGGAGAAAAAGGGTAAGACCCACCTCCTGGACAGCCCCAAGGGCTCGAGAAACACTCAAGCACTCACCTTTCCTGGGAGGCAGTGGACGGACTGCTCAGCAATCAACCGCTCTGTGAACTCCATGTCATTCTCAAACTCTGGGAAATGTTCCATCTCAATTCCAACCTACACCAATAACAGAAGGGAAAGGCAAACTTATCAGAAGGAGGGAAAACAGGCCAATTTCCTAAGCCAGAAATTAGGGCAGGGACTGCTTTAATGCTATCTTAGACTTCTGCTACTATTGATAACTAAGAACTCATGGAATTTTTCTCAGGGAGGAGTGGATATATTACATTTGCATTTGAGTTTATTGAAGAGTCCTTTCCTGGATGCTGATAAATGAAATGGAGAAATAACATACCAGTGTTTCTAAAAAGGAATCAGTTAGCATTAGAGCCAGGCCATTCTTTACTGTATGAGACTGTCCTACTCATTAAAAGATATTTATCAGCCAGATGTGGTGGAGCCTGCCTATAATCCCAACACTCAGGAGGCTGAGGAGGGAGGATTGCTGTAAATTCAAGGCAACTTGGGCTACATAGTGAGTTCAAAGCCAGCCTGAACTACATAGCAAAACCCTGTTTCCAAAAAAATTTTTAAAACAGATTTTATATCCTTGGCTCACAAAATGGAAAAAGAACCTCCTTCCAGTCATCTTCAAAACAAAATTCCCCGAATCTCAAACCGCTCTGGGAAACCAGTATCACGCCCAGTTGTGAACTACAAGCTATGGAAAGCCTCTTACTTGTGCCTTGAACTTCAGTGTATCTACATATATAATGACTCTCTATACTGAGAAGTTCAGTGATTTTACAGGTTTTATGAACACTGAGGTTAGATCACATTGAACAAGGCCTCAGCTGACTGGCTTAGGAGCCTCACCCATGGTCTTTGTGAAAGGCATACACCTGGGACAACCACCCATGGCAGTCTTGCCAACCACCTTCCCTGTACTTTATGACATGCATAGATCTAATGCCTGCTCCCTGCGTACTCACCATAAGGTACATGGCCCCGGAAGGGCAGATTGGCCGGAGTCCAGGTATTGCAGACAATGTCTCATAGCAGAGATCAGCATTAGACTATAAGAAGAGTCAGACATTAAGAATCAAATTTTAAGAAGAAGAAAAATGATGTCATTAAAGTAGAGCCATCGTTGAAGGCCAGTAAGCTAGGTTTGATCTGACATAAGAATCCAAAGAAAAACATCCATAACTTGAAGTTGCTGGCCAGGAGCAGAATGAATTGACAGAAGTAAGAGGAATGTATGGGTTGACACATTGACACCATCACATGATACAGAAGCCCCATACTGGAACAGTATTCCAGAAATGAGGATCAGTTGTTCCTGATACAACCGGAGGCGTTCCCTGACTCCCAAACTCCCCAAGTAAAAGGGCATGAGCTGCTCTTACCTTGAGGAAGCTTAGAGTGTTGTGGTAGAACTCATGAGGGGTGCGACGCAGGATGCTTTTCAGAGCTCCCTGAACAATGGTGCAAGGTCCCAAGATCCGCTGACTCAGCTTCACCAGCCCATCTCGGATCTAGAAGGACCACAGGAAACAGCACATGAAAACCAAGCTGGGGAGAGAAACAACTATTACCATTTTTGTCCAGCAGGTTTCCAAGGACTGTGAACTACAGAGCCAAGAAAGGGGGGGTGGGGTTCCTACCTTCCCACCACTGTGCAAATATATGTTCTAAATGACACATACTGTTTTACCTTATTGTTCTCACCTCATTGCCAAAAATGTCTCTTCGGTCATGGATGAGGATCCAGCCCAGTCTCCAGCCAGGAACCAGCCAGCGCTTGGCCAGCCCTCCACAGGACAGGATAGGAACGCTGGTGCTAAGCGTGGCCAGTGGTTTGTATTTGCAGTCTGAAAATACCTGAAGAGAAGAGGATCTTTCTTACTTTCCTCTGGATGCCATGCCTTCTCACCCACTTCCTCATATCTCAAAGGACAAAGCATCAGATCTACAGGCTTCTTTCTACCCGGAAGCATGATTAGGGCAGGGTCCCATGATTGAATTCCAAGGGTATGCAAAGAGGACTCTCCAAAGACGTTTAATTTGGTGTCTTGTCTGGATTAAAAGAAAATTTTTTTTTTGGTGTCAGGAATCAAACTCAGGACCTTGCACTTGCCAGGCAGGCGCTGTGCCACTGAGCTATACCCCCGACCATAATAGAAATTTAAAATGAGGAAAATGATTCCATTCCTGTGGTATATGCCACTTCATGAAGCTCACTGTAAGGAATTAGTGACTATTTGAATTACAGATTTTAAAATAAAATATGAATCCTCAATCCTTCACCTAATATTCCTGGGTTCTGCTATATTGCAGAAAATGCAAAATTGTTTGAATTTTTACAAAAGGCTACATAACACATATACTATACATTAACATTCCCAGAGCAGTCTAGGATAGTACCTGTCATCAAGACTATTAACATGTCTACCATTTTCCTCACATTCTTAACACATGCACACCCATAAGTGTCATAAATGAAATCTACAAATATGTCCATATTTGTAGATATTGAAACCAAATAAAAGTTTTGAAACCAAATAAATTCTAAGAATCTTTGAGTTGTGAAGTTTTTTGATTTCAGAAAACTGCTATGGAGTCACAGATAGATAGATTAGATAGGTAGGTAGATAGATAGATGATAGATAGATAGATAGATAGATAGATAGATAGATAGTAGACACATATCCATGGATATAGATAATGAGATTACTGTAGTGCTATATCTTAACCCATACTCACCATGTCTCCATAGATCTCATCAGCTAAGATGGGAACACACTGCCTTGCAGCCACTGAAAATAAAAAAAGCATGTTGGAATCATTTTAAATGTGAAAACCTTATCATTTTATGTCCACCTTGTCATACTTTGCTTTGCATTTCACATTGGTGTGTGTAACTGTTAATCCTGATTTGTCAACTTCATTACAGTAAGAAACACATAGTAGATTAGTAAAGCACGCTCCTGGGTATGTCTAGGTGGGTCATGGAAGTGTAACCTTGAGTACTATATATGGTCCCTAGCCAGTTCCTCTCTGACACTGTTCCCCTGCTCTGCTTCCTCGCCTCCACGAACTAAACAGCTTTGCTCCACCACACCTGTCTGCCTTGGAGCCAGCTCAACATGAACTGACTCTCCTGAAACTGTGAACTAAATTAAGCTTTACCTCCTTTAAGTTGAAGGTGTTAGGAATTGTGTTTCTGTGACAGGAAAGCTAACAGAGTATTTGGTCTTCTTCTTTAAAAACTGTAAATTTGGGCTGGGGATGTAAACAGTAGCACAACACTTGTCTAGTATGCATGGGACCCTGCATTCAATCCCCAGCACCACAACTAAATTTTTCTAATACTCTTTCAGACTGCAGAGCCTAGATTTGACATTTAAACAAGATATTTCAAACCCTCTCTTCCACACAATGGGAGTAGTGAAGAAGCAAATATAGGTTAAATAGTTCTTATCCAACATGTTTGGATTAGGGATGCTCTACCTGTATTTACCTTTTCTCCTTCTTTTAGGCAAGACCTACCACTCAAATGCTACACTGTTGATTAGAGATGCAAGTGGAGAGCCAGGGATATAGCTCAATGGTACAAGTCCCTGCCTGGCAAGCCCAAGGTCCTGAGTTGAATTCCCGGTACCAAAAAAAAAAAAAAAAAAAAAAGAAGTAGAGAGGCAAATAGAGCTCCATCCAAAGCTTAGCACTTAGTAAAGGACTCTTTTGTAACTGTAAGATACAGCAAAAGGATTCCATTCTCATCTCCTTCCCTTTGAAGTGAGTCTGCTGGACTCACCTGCCAGAATCTTCTGAAGATGACTCTTACTGAACACTGAGCCACAGGGATTTGATGGATTGTTGATTATGAGACAAGCTGTCTTTTCATCAATCAGAGACTCCATTTGTTTCAGGTCAATTTCCCAAGACTTCTCTGGCTGGGAGGAAGAAAGAGGGAGACTGAAATGGACAATCCTCAATCCGAAGGTGCAGTATAAGTTTGCTTTTGGCCTCAGCCACTCCGTTCCAGACCTGTTTCTGACAGGCAAGGGTCATATATTTTCCCAACATACTAGTTGAACATTTGAGTCTAAAATTTAAAAGTCCCTTACCAATAGATTATAGAGTTTGACCTCAATTCCCATAGATTCAGCCAAAGTTCTGTAGAGAGAAAAACCAGGTCTTGGAACAAGGATGTTTTGCCCTGGGTTGGCCAACACAGCTAAACACAGTTCAATAGCCTGACTGCAGCCGCTTGTCAGAATGACATCCTGTGAAGAGAACAAAAGGTTAATTTTGTTAGGGTTCTCACAAGCGCAGGAGAAAAGAGCTTTGCATTTCACATGTGTGTATGACAGTCAGGTGGATAAGCTGGGAAGAAAGTGAACCATAACACATTCTAAGTGAAGTAGTACGCATAAAGGATGAACTAAACCAAACCAAAAGAAATCAATGTCTAAGTATGTCCACATCTAAATGTTGTTGAGAATGGTGGACACTTAAATAAACAAGTCACTTTTAAAAAGACAAGTTCACTATGACTCAGCAGACTTCCACAGGACAGCTTGGACCAACCTTGAACTTTTTTCTCCTGTCTACTGATTTGCTTTTGGCCAGAATTTGAAGCCTGGCTCTTCTCTGACACACAGATAAGGACACTTATATGATAGGAAATGTCTACCCCACACAGTAACAACAGAGGGAAGGGCAGCATCTAAACTTGGCCCTGCCCTCAATTCAATATGTCATGGGATAGCCAGGCATGGTGGGGCACGCCTGTAATCCCAGCACTTGGGAGGCTGAGGCAGGAGGATCATTGTGAGTTCAAGACCAGCCTGGGCTACAGAGTAAGATCAAGGCCAGCCTGAACTGCATGGCGAGACCCTGTCTCAAAAAAAAAAAAAAATACATCAATATATCATGGGACTTCCATCTTTCTGTCTGAATGCCCCAAGGTGAATGAATGCAGTTACAAATAAAAAAAGGACAGCATTGGCAAATTTTTAAAAATTAAATATTTGATGTTTGTGAATTGTCTTTCAATGATCTTTGGAAGGGAATCAAATCTGGAATGACCTCAGTGTCCTTTAGGCCTCCTTAGGACAGACATGATATGAATTATAGGAGACGTCCTTATCACACTGTGGTGACTTTAAATACAATCATTACTTAGTGGCCCCAAATACATAAGATGTTCTCAGGGGAAATATCCCCAGTCACCTCCCAACCCCCACCCCGCCACAGGCCATTACTCCTTGTGGAACACATATAAGGAAAGGGGATGCAGTTTTCCCTAAATGGATACAGCGCATCAGAACACGTTATATAAGGCTTACCTTAGCTTCCAGGGGTGCTTTGGCAGAGTGGTGGTAGGAAGCAACTGCCTCCCGACTGGATAGGTAGCCTGTAAGGGAAAAAGTGGGAAGAGGGAGCGGAGGAGATTTATTCTTCCGCTGACAGGTGTGCCCTAGCAGGACAGCTAGGGCTTCACACTGCCTGCTATCCCTGCTCAGAACATAGTTTACTAATTTTAGCTCTCAGCCACTATAGGTAAAGACTAACTTTATAATTTATAATTTTTACAACCCCAAATTTATAAACAATAACAAGAAACAGTTCTCCAAACTGTAAAACACCCTGCATTATCTTGATTACTGTGGTTATGTTTTATTCTCTATAAAACAAAGGATTTAAATTATTCTTAAGTTCCTTGTAGGGACTATGCTTTTTCAGAAGTTGTCATGAATGCATTCAATATATGTAGTCAACTTGTGAGTTTTTTAGAATATATAATATGCTTATAGGTATTTTGGTACAAATTTTGTCTTTTAATTATTTTCTTGTACAATATTTCCAAATTTGGCTTATAAGCTTCCAGGCCCGCTATAATGTTTCACAGAACTACTATCCAAAAGACGAGTTAGCAAGACCAGAGGCAATATTTGATTTGTGTTTAATTTAATAGGTTCAAATGGATCTCTTGAAATTATATAAATCAGCCCTTCCTTAATTACTAATAAGAAATAACATATTCTTAGACATCTTATCATCCATATCTTCTTCAGTATGAAACTTGGGTTTGGTTTCCAGGTTGATGCATTTCCCTAATACTTTGGATATTAAAGTCATAAACTTTTCTATAACAATTTTTTGTCTTGAATTTGATTTTTGTTGTACGGAAATTTCTGATAGGTTAATAATCATTGTTGTACAGAAATTTCTGATAGGTTAATAATCATTGTAGTACGGAAATTTCTGATAGGTTAATAATCAACCTAAAAACCATGTCTCTAATATCTCTTTGAAGTAGTTTTTATGATTTTAACTGAAACTCTATTTTCCTTCCACAATAAGAATATGTTCTTTTGTACACATATACACACGGAGGGAGTTGTACAATACTGACATGAAGTAAAAAAAACCACTCATTTTACCAAAACCTTTACAATATAAAGTATTAAATGACAAAAAAAATCAATCAAAATAGGAATCAACAACCTTCTATCCTTCACTTTTTGTTGTGTTGGGGCCTCTTTATCTTAAACAGTTTCAACTGCATGTCAGTGTTAACAATACCATAGGGAAGGAGAAAGAAAGCAAAGGAGCTATTGACATAGGGCAGTAAGTAAATTACTGTGAGCCTAGAGTACTTAGTAAATGCACCGCTCCAGCCAGACTCAAGGCCCGCACAGTAGATCAGTAAGGAAAATCATTATTGGAGGATTAAGTGTGTTTGAGAGCCTAGAAGGCAGTGTCAGCATGCGGAAGAAAGCCAGGAAAGAAGTTAGACTTCGTGTTTACTAATCTGGAGCAACACCTCTGCCCCTAAATCCAAATGGCAGCTTAACCTTAACCTGTCCTTAAGAATGACTAGAATTGCTAGAAATGTAGGGCTGTTAAAAGAACACTAAAGATTTGGAAGCTTCTGGGTATAGTCTCAGGGACTTACCAATGGATGGGGCATAGCCATTGTATTTCCCTGAATCCAGGGCATCCTTCATTGCTTGGGTAACTTCAGGGTCTGTGGGGAGGTTTCCAAACACAGTAGGATCTCCTGTTCATGGAAGGATAAAAACAAAGAAGCCGCCAAAAGATTACCCTCCTGTGTCCGGTACTCAGATTCACCCTCCACTGCCACCTTTTCCAACCAGCCCCTGAGGATGGGAGGTGAAAGGACTTTGTGCCCTCCACCAAGTATCCCCAACTCACCAATTGACAGAGAAATCATGGTTTTGTCTGGGTTTGGCTTCACCTTCATGCTGTCCACAATGGCCCGGATGGGATTTAAGGTCCTGTTGGACATGTCCGAGGGCCTCACTGACCATCTGGCTTTCCTGCCTTTCATTTTTCCTGGTGTGGAGCTTCTGCCACTGATGTTGACGTGCACATCCAGAACTGGGGGAAGGCTGCCACTGTCAGCAGTCTGGATCATATAGGGGTCCATCGCTAGCAAAGCCTACAGGGAAAAAAGGGGGATCCCTGTGAAGGGGTACTGGGAGAACGGCATGCTGTGGAGTCAGGGCCTACATGTGGATCAGAACATCAGGGCAATGTCCCTGGATGTCACAACTCTTCTTTTTTTCTGCTTTCTCTTGGAGAATAGCTTTATTATGAGCAAGAAGAATTTTAAGACTTTTTGCTGAGATGGAAAATAAGCAAGAACCTATTCTACAATATTAACAGCATTCAGTTGAATTCTTACCTACCGTGAGTAGGATTTACAGTGTGCAAATGTAATCCCTGCAAAAGCTTAACCACACTCTATACAAAACCAAGAGTGGGCACAGTGGCACATGCCTGTAATCCCAGCACTCTGGGAGGCTGAGGCAGGAAAATCAAAAGTTTGAGCCCAGATGGGGCAAATCAGTGATTTAGTGAGGGCCGGTCTCCCCCACCCAAAAAAAAATGTCTGGGGATATAGTTCAGTGTGAAAGCTCAGGGTTCAATCCCCAGTACCAGAAAAAAAAAAAAAAAAAGACAAAGTCACTAGCACATGTTCTCCCTCCTTTCCACGCAGAGATTCCAAGAAAGGGCTTCCCTAATCCTTCAACACTCTTGCCCTGACAGGAAGCTAGTAAAGGTAAGTGTCTCACAACCATGGGCAGAAAAAGAAGTCAGTACATCAGAAAGGAAAATTTGCAGTCATCACCACCAGATAGCTGATGCATGGGGTTTACCTTCCACCTCCAGGAGAAGCACTCTCTAGTAGTCAAACCTGAAAGCTCACCAGTTCGTCTCTGACAAGTCACCGTGGCAATGAACTCAAGGACAAATCCTGACTTCTGAAATAGTCTCCACTAATGGGCGTTGGGCCTGATACTTTTATGCTATTGGCTTGAGGTGAGAGCTAAGCCCGCCTGTGCACCTCTTCCCCTGATTCCCTCCCACCCTTCTGCTTTTCACCCCTAACCCTGCTGCCACCCTCCAATCAGGAATTTGTCCATCCTTCAAACAACTGGAATTATCTGTTAACCCTTTTCCAGGCACTTGATGAGATGTTTGAAAAGACTGTTGGAAGTTAGTTAAGATTACAGTAAGGGTGTGTGTGTGTGTGTGTGTGTGTGTGTGTGTAACTAGGATCAGACCCAGGACCTCACTTGTGTTAAGCAAGTACTCTACTACTAAGCTACATTCCCAAACTTTTTTATTTTTTATTTTGCGACAGAGTCCCACTATGTTGCTTAGGCAGGCCTCCAACTCTCAATCTTCCTGCCTCAGCCCCCCAAGTAGCTGGAATTACAAGGATGCACCACCACACCCAGTTATGTAGGTAATTATTTAAAGGTCTTTTCTATTACAAAACAATTTGTTAAAATATTGACAGTTTGGAAATACATAAAGTGAGAATCCTCCCTTTCATCCCTCCTTGCTCAAGAGTAGGCATTGGTAATGATTTGGGCCTTTCTATCCATTTTAGCAAAATGACAGGTAGATAGGTAGATAGATAGATGATAGATAGATAGACATATAAATAATAGAAAGATAGACAATAGATAATGATAGATACATAATTTTATAGATTTTCAAAACACAACATCATGTTCTACATCTTGTTTGGCAGCATTTTTTTTACTTTCTACACTCAGATTCCTTTCCTTAGCAGTCAACAAAGTTTTGAACTTCAGTTAGAACAAATTGGGCAGCTGAAATAAATAAAGGGCCTTTCAACAAATAAAGGTGCAAGGCCACCAAGCAGCCCAAATTTGCAACATTATCCTTACACTCTGAAATCTTCTTCATGTACCTACTACGGAGATACTGGAAGAACAAGATGCCAGGCGGCGTCTACACAAAACAAAAGCAGGCCCAAGGCCCATAGCAGGAGCCCCAGCAGTCCTGTGAGCCCATGAAAAGCATCTCCCCTCAAAGGCTGAGACAAAGATCAGAGACTCACGGGGCTCAGATCCTATCTGTTTCATTGTCAAGACACATAGAATTGTTACCAGCATTCTTTCTAACTATCTACTTTTCAGAGACTTGAGTCTCCTGTGGGCTTAAATAACCTTTTGCTTTTGCGGACATTCCATCTCTTAGAGCACTTTCCAGAACTCATCTAATGCATCCTCTTCCCCACGCCAGGAAATCAAGGGGCTACTGCTTCATTTTACCAGTGCAGAAGTATAAGTACCAGGTGAGGGGGAGATCCCAACCCTTCCATTCACAGAGAATTTAAGTCCTAATACTTAAGCCTGGATCCTGAAGCTCAACAATAGGGCTACTCAGTGTCAAGAAGCAAATGCATAGCCATGTCTCTGGGACACACAAAGACACAAAGAAGGACACATTGAGTCAGCTCTGCCATGTGGTCTGACACCTATGCCCAAAGTACCCTTGTAGACAAGAATGTACCTCATAGGCTGGACAGGACTGACCTCGACGGAGTCACTCGCAGAGTGAGAACATGGCATTGTGTGCAGATCACATAGATTTTGCCAAGAGGGAAAATCAGTCTCTTCTACATGCTTGAGCATCCTCTGACTGTTTGAAACAGATGTATTTAGGAGGGGAAAAAAAGCATTTACCATCCCCACCATCATTCTCAGCTATCAGAGTGCCTTTTATACACGGTCACTTTTTACATTTATTACTGTTTATGTTTGTGAATTGTCTGTTCATGCCCCTCACCCATCTCTTGAGGAAGGACTGTCTTTCTCTGTGCTAAGACCTTGGTGTAGGGCACAGCCATAAGGCAACAGAACAGCTGCTGTGGGGTCATGGGCCGGCCTCCCCTGTCTCAGCCTGGCTCTGCTTCAGGTTTACAGATCAAAGGACATTGAGCAGTACAGGATTTTGGCAGGTGGTCCTGCAAACAGTGCTGCTGACGCAGAATCTGTAGAGCCGAGGGGGTGTGATGGGCCTGCAGCATCAGGAGGTCACTGCCGTGGACACACCCTCACCCCGCTTCAGTCACCAACAACAGAGCCTAGGTCAGAAGAAAAAACAGATAGAGCAAACAAGTCTTCAGAAAGCAGACAGAGCAAAGGGAGAGGACCCAACTTTACTTAGGGAGCTTCGCTGACACCGGATGAACTCGAGAATCAGGGCCCATACACTTAGGCACACAGAGTGCTGCTCCCACAGCTGCCAGAAGGACCTTTCATTTAAAAACCAAACAAGGACTTCCAGCAATTTTTTTCTTAAGTATTAAAGTATTGTGTTTTCCACAAAAAAAGTATTTTTTAAATTTTTGCAAGTTGTAGTAAAAACCATGACATTAAATTTACCATCTTAGCTGCTCTTGAATGTATAATTTCGGTAGTTTATGCATAATCACATTGTTGTGTCACAGATCTCCGGAACTTTATCATTTTGTAAAACAGAAACCATGAAACCGTAACCATTAAACACTTAATTCCCTTTCCCCTCCTCCCCAGTCTATGAAAAGTCATCTTTCTATTTAGAATAAAAATACATTTTTAAGTAATTTGACCATCCAGAGATAACCACTGTTTATCATTTTGTCCACAACTAACATTTTGAAATTCCTATACTTCCTAGGTATATATTCATATGTTTTATATATGAGAGTTTCATATTCCATGGGCCTCATTTGTAGAATATATTGTGAACGTTTTCTTAAGACCGTATCAATTTTTGTAAATTTGCTTTTAATAGTTACCTACAACCCCAGGCCTTCGGTTTTATAAAGGTGCTTCCCTGCCCTTCTTTCCTCTGCCCATGCAGGTTGGACATCCACCTCATACCACGCAGTCTTGGACACACTGTGCCTAAATCAATAATCTTCATATCACTCCAGAAGAAGCGCCTGTCTCATCTCTACCTTTACTTGGACAAAAAAATAAGTCCCTTAGGTAGTCAGTGTTGAGTTGGAGCCCAAGCCTCAAAATCTGGCTCCAGATTCCAGAAACTCTAATCTGCCTTTCTTTGGAGGACAGAGTGGATTGAGAAACATAGCCCCAGCCAGATGTGGTGATGCATACCTGTAATCCCAATAATCGGGAGGCTGAAGCAGGAGTATCATGAGTTTTAAGATAGGCTGCGCTATATAGCAAGTTCAAGACTGGCCTAGACAACATAGTAAGACCCTGTCTCAAAAGAAGGAGGGAGAATTTTCCCAGGGAAAATCTTAAAAAGGGAGGGGGGAGCCAAACAAGAAAAACCTCAGGGAAATAATGTATTAACTATATGGGTCAGGCATGGGCCATTCATCTGCCTTTTATTGGTCCTCAATTGTTACGTTGTATCTTTCCATACTGAATGGTCATCCTTATCATTTAATTCAGGTACAGAAGAATAGGTGTGTTTCACCTTCTCTAGTAGACTGAAGCAGTAAGGAACATTCTTTTCACTCTCAATGTCCTCCTTCATGTCCAGCACCATGCTTTGTACAAGCCACATTTGAAACTTTTTCACCAGTTGCCAGTTAGTAGTACATGAACCAGAGGGAAAGGAATGGTGGAAGGAGTGGTAAGAGAGGAAACCAAAGTCCTGTGTATTTATAGAAGGTGGGGCGTGGAATTCAGGAAGGATTAGGAGATAGGTTGGACTTTGATAATTTATAATGCCTTACATTTACAGAGCACCTTGATAATGTTTGAGCTCACATTGTCTACATTATCTCATGTAATTCTCTCTCTCTCTCTCTCTCTCTCTCTCTCTCTCTCTCTCTCTCTCTCTCTCACACACACACACACACACACACACACATACCATGACATAGACAAGAAAAAAGCTGTTAGACTATAGAGCTAAACCTGGTTAAACTTCCTTTTCTTAAATTAAACTTTTTTTTTAGAAAAGTTTTAGATGTATAGAAGAGTTGCAAAGACAAGTACCGAGTTCCCACATATGCCTTACCAGTTTCTCCCTATTTTTACCCCCTCATATAATCGTGACCCAACTAAGAGACAAATACTGGCCTATTCATATTAAGAAAACTCCATCCTTTACTCAAGTTTCACTAATTTTTCTCCTGACATCTTTTCCTCTTCCAGCATCCCATTCAGGATACCACTTTGCAGTCAGTGTTCATGGCTCCTTAATCGCTTCCTACTGGGGATCGTTTCTTAGACATTCCTGGTTTTTCACAACCTTGGAAGTTTTGATGTAGAATGATCCTCACTTTGGGTTTGCCTGGTGTTTTAGAAAGAGGTACGGGTTCGGGAAGGACCACTTGAGTTTATGGTCACTCACTTTACATCAGAGCTTGAGAGGTTAATAAAGAAATAAAACCCTCATCTGTTTGCTGATTGAGATGCCCCTGGCCACCTCTCTCATGAGCTTAGCAAATAACACCAGTATGTTTGCTTTGTGCTTTGCATAACCATCCATGCCTATTAACTCAGCCATTTTTCTCCAGTCGGAACTTGGTGTTCCTTCATTTGTGCATAGCTGGAAGCTTCGTCTCATTCCAGTTCTTAGCATCCATCAAGGAGCACACTGTGACTGCTTTGACTAATGGAAGTTGGAGGAAGGGCCGCGGTGACAGTTCTGAATATGAGGCCACTTTCCTGACAGTCTTAGCTGTCTGTTCCTAGGACCCTGACCTCCGTGTGAGAAGTCCACTTTACTTCGCTGTAGAGAGAGGACACAGAGAGGCCCTGAGGTACCAGGCAAGTAAATGAGGGAGCCGTCTGGGCTGTCCAGGCTGTCTGAGCCCGCAGATGACACCAGCTCATGATGACTGCGACTGCGTGAGAAATCCCAAGTAAGGTCCACCTGGTTATTCCCAGTAAACACTCAGAACCAGAAGAGATCACAAATGACAGATTTTATACCAGCACACCTTTGCATATGGTCGCTTCAGTAAACTCTTCAAATTGCTTCGTTTGCTGGCACTGTTCCCTGAAGGGACCCCATATATGGCAACCAAAAGTGTCTGGCAATGAAAATCCCACCT